TTAAACTGCCCAGATATAAACTTTGCATGTGGGCAAGATGCCCCGGGGGCCAATCATAAACAAAGATGTGATCACATGTTATGGAACTACATTTCCCATAAGGCAGTCTCTGCCTGCATTTACCATGAGGTAGTTTCTTAAAGGAGACAGTTCTTAATTCCTACACTAGCTAGATATTGCTGGGGCAGCACAAGTGATGAAAGACCCAAAAATATCTCCGGGCTCCAGCATGCAGGAAGGGCCTGAAGGGTTCCTCCTGAGCGTCCGACCTAATTCAGAAGGAGGCCGATCCCATCTTCTCTCCTCTTTCCTCATGCTGGGCGTGTCCCCTGCAAAGAGGAGGGAGGAAGTATCCAAGGGTTAGTTGGATCAAGACAGTCAGAGCCTGAGAGGTGCCGAAGGATCAGAGTTTGGGGGCAGTAAGACCCCTCTCCCAAGCCTTCTCCCCCAAATTCCTTACCTTCCAGTGTTTCAGGTGAATAGGAGAGAGAAGAGGGATTCCCAAAGCATCTTCACCCTCACTTGGTCCTTGGACCCCAAAGGGCCCCTCCCTCTCACCCCATACAGCCCCCACTGAGACCACTCACCTGCAAGGGGGCTGCTAAACAGTCTGATTGCTCCCTGGATTGGAGAGAAAGAGACAGAAGGAATCAATGTTCAGATCCAACAATATAATCCAATAGGGAGAGTTTCCCTTCTCCTCTGCAGAATCAATCAGTGCAAGGAAAGCGGATTTTGTGACACCCAGCCGGCTTTCCTGCCTAAGTAGAACTCAGAGTCTCGCCTGGAGCCCTCAGCACTAAGCCAAAGTGGGTGCTATTATTTTTATTATTCTACCAGTAAAGACTCAGAGGGAACCCAAGGAGGATGAATGGGGGGGGGGGGCTTTAAAAAGTGGGACCTTCTCCCTCTTTTCATCCTCTCATTCCCCCCCCAAAAAAAGTCTTCCCTTGTCACTTGCTGGAAAAGAAGGAAAGAAAAAGAGGATGAGGGAGGATGTCTGTCTGTCTTTCTGTGTCTCTTAGCTTATAGATGGAGAAGCTCAGCTGTTTCTGACTCCAGCTCCCTCCCTCCCTTTCTCTCTCCCACACAAATAAAGACACACAAATATGCAGAGAGAGTTTGAACCAAACTGCTTTGCCTAAAAGGCATCAGAAAGAATTCTTAAAATTTGTATTTATAACACACAAGGCCAGAAGGCAGAGCTGACCTCAAAAGAAACAGATGTATCCAAAGTTTCTTTTTCTAACCAGTTCTTACTTAGAGAGCCTTTATGAAGTGGAGACCAAGAGGAGATCCAGCTGGTATCCCCCAATGCTCCTTTTCCCTCAAAATGCCCCCTTTTCATCCTCAATTTTATGGAGCTTCTGACTCTCACTTGGCCAAGCCTTTCCTTTCTGCCTACTTGGGGAACAGAACATGTCCTCAGCCGGGTCTTCTCCTCTTGTTGAAGGTTCCATCTCCCAGATGTTTCTCCTTGAGGTCTCCACTTCTCCTAATAGCCTGGCTGTAATGAAAAGGGGACCCAACGTCCCCAGCCTGGTTCTTAGCATGAACATGAACACATACATACACATATCCCTCTCAAATAATGGAGCCTATGGCCCTGCTCTAAGTTGGAGATTGCGTGTAAAGAAGGCAAATTACTCACTTGGTGCTGCATTGTAGTTGGTTTGACATCTCTCTGGAAAGACAAAAAAAGTGAAAGCGCAAAAGAGATCAGAGATCATCCAAACTCTCCCTCTGTAGGAGCAAGAACTCCAGATGCTTCACTGTCACCTAGTCCCATCAACCAAGACAGAAAGAACTTTAAAATACATATGTATCTCCTGATTTGCCCCAAGAGAAACCTGCTTGCCTCCGAGATGGATGGAGGGGAATTGGGGGAAGCAGAAGGAGCAGCTGGGAGGGGAGGAAGGTTTCCATGGAAATCCTTCTCTGCTGCTCTCTGACCAAAGCCTTTGAAAGGGACAAAGGAACTGGGATGCCTCTTCTCAACTCAGAAGGAGACAGGACTGCCCGAATCTCAGACTCAGCTGAATAGAAACTGGAGTCCCAGCAAGAGGCAGAGATCTCAGATGCTCCCCAAGAGGGCTGGGAAAACAGGACAGAAGGAAGCCCAGAAGAAGCTCCCCAAAGGGAGAGACTTGGGGGGAATCTCCCCATCTTCCTTCCATTACCCGCCCTCCCCCAAAAAGATACTTACTGAAGAATACAACAATTCCAGCAATCACACAGGCCAGGACAAGGGCAGCCACAAAGCAGCCAATGATGAGCCCCAGGTTGGATTTTGAATTGGTTGGTTCTGAATTGGG